AACCTTCTTTTTAATTTTAAATTATTACTTCGTACTTTGATAAGAATTTGTTTACTATAGCCCATATTCCCTTCCTGGGAAAAGACTCATTGTCTTAACTGTCCAGTGTAAAGTAGCAATATTTCTTTTTAGATCTGGATTTGGATTTTCTGTTGTAAAATTTTTACATGTCATAAAATCTAAATTGATGATGCTGAATTAAATATTTCAAGTACCTCCCTCTGGCCCTGTCTAACACAATAGCAAGTTTTAATAAACTTGATCTTGTTTGGGTGATCCAGGCATCTGGCAGACTCCTTCACCAGACAGGAAATTTTCATTATCTGTTTTTCTTCTGTAATTTTTTTTTCCATGGCTACTTTACAGGCTTCTAAGCGTAGAGGAAGTAACTGAAGTATCTCAGAACCCACTTTATAGTTGCAGTATAATTTGCTTTATAATACGTAAAAATCTTTTGATTGATATGACATCAGTCTATAAATCGCACTAAAATTAGGCAGGGAGAATGGAGGAATAAAGCTCAGAAAATGGTATTTTATTTGAATAACTGAAAAAATACTTTGAATGTAGTTCAAAAGATAGAGTGTACCAACAAACTGTAGTCTGTTGCTCTTAGAAAAGACACTGATTATTTTTCATCAAAGTCATCATTCAAGAGGAGAGATGGAATGAAAAGTACTTCATACTAAAAAGGGAACGTGAAAGAGAGCTGACCTGTTGCTTTATATGTGATATTCGTTTGTCACACTGCCTACTGGATTAAATTGCCTGGATTTCACTGAATCTATATGTAGAATTTATTTTTGAAATAATTGTTCCTCTAAAGGGTCAAAGTTACAGATTTGTTTTTCTGGCCACATGTGCTGTACGTATAGAATCACTAACCAATGCTCCTGCAAATTCCTAGAAATAATGGCATAATTTTCATAAGTGAAACTTACTTGTTTGTATGTTCCTTTGTATATGAACAATTAAACATAATCTGGAAGAGATGTTACAGATATTTATCAAATGTACCTAGTTGAGGTTTCCTAATTAATTCTGGGCTATTCAGAACAGTGGAACAGTAAGTTATGCTGATATTAATGCATTTGCATGGTGATGGTTTACTTCCAACTAAGCATTGATCAATAACCTGGCTCTGTTGATGTAAGAATGAATGGGAAGTTGCTCTTGCAGTTAGTTCTTTATGAACTATTACAAAAATAAGAAGAGTTAGGGCCTACTGAAGGCATGTGGGAACAGGAATGATTATCTCAGGTGTTTAGGTAAGCCTTTAAAGTTTATCCAATAAAAATTGCTAGAAAGAAGATGGAAGTACCTTAAGAATATTGTATCAGTGGTCATTCATTCTAAAACAGCTTTTGCATTAACCTCATGGATTGTTGAAGAATTGTTGGAAAACCTAGCATGGTAAACAAAGGTGACTTTATTATTTTTTTTTTCCCCTTTGGCAGAGGTATTTCTTTTAAAGATGAATACAAGTGTCAGTTAAGGAGGACAGGGCTGTAAGTTTTCCGTATGCAGTAGCAGTTGGAAGGTGCTGTGTTAGTATGGAATGGGTGACGGACAGCCTTCTCTTATTCACAGTTCTTTATTTCAGACCACCAGTTAGTAGGGCATTGCCACAGCCGGAGAAACTCCAGACAAATAATGTTGGGAAAAAAAAGAGACCTATAGAGGTAAGAAAAACATTGATGTCCTCTTCCTCTCCAGAAATTAACACATCTGTGGACACAGTACATGATTGATTCACTTTAAATATATCAAAGATGGAAATATTGAATAGTGAGTAAATAGAGAGCAAAAAAAGTGGGAGATAACTTTTTTTGTAAATCAAAAAAACCCCAATATTAATTTTTCTTGCAAACAAAACAGAGCACAACTTAATTGTTAGTAACAATAAAACCTTTTAAATGCAGTGCATTGAGAGCATTATGTCCTGCTTAAATAACATAATTCTTATGGTGTATTATCACTAGATACTAACTAAACTAAACATCTTTTACTGCAATTTTTTAAAAAAATTATTTTAAAAGTTTAAAATTCATCATTTTTAGCAGTTATGAGCATGTGTTATGAGCACCACTGTGTATATATGTGTGTGTGTGTGTGTGTATTCTCTGTATATATGTGTGTGTGTATACATACAAATATTCTACAGCATCCACCAAACAGATAATAGGATGAAATGACCGTCTACGAAAAGAATGAGCAGCAAATGTCAGCTGACAGGGAGGGCAGGATCTCAATTTCTGCTGGTTTGAGACATCATTAAACTCCTTTCCATTTACTGCAGAAGGACGTATTTGAAAAATAAAATCCTGGATAGGATTGTAAAGTTCATTGCTTTAAGGTTTTGAGTATTTAATGGACGTAAATATCTTTTTTTAGGACCTGATTTTGGAACTTGTGTTTGGGTACCGAGGCAAGGACTGTAGAAACAACGTGCACTATTTGAATGATGGTGCTGATGTCATATATCATACTGCGTCCGTTGGCATCTTGTATAACGTGGCAACAGGTAGGAGAGAACCCACTCGAGGAAAAATGTTTCTTCACACACATGGGGTTACAGTTTATGAAGTAACTTGGATGCTTTAAATCTTAAAAGAGCGTGTGGAAAAATTATTATTGTTGTTGTTATTGTTATGAAGATTTTATTATTTTGATATTAGCTTCCTGAAATTTGCTTGTTAAAATGATCACAGAAACTAAAACAACTGAACAATGGGATCATTATTGTTGTTTAATGTTTTTTCTAAGACTAAGTTAATTATTTTTTATTTGGTTTACTTTTCAATCCTCCGTGTCACATACATTCATTCCCAATAACCAATTTAGTTTAGGTAACTTAGACCTTTTAAAGAGTAACACAATGCCTTTTGATTCTGTGATATTTAAGCAACTTGATGTAGAAACTTGAGGGAATAGTTCAGAGTTTGAGTCCTATGTGTTAAAATAAAAGTAAAAAATTAGGAGTTTCTGTTTCTTAGTTTTAAGCTCCAAACTGCAACATCACCATAATACACAAAACTAAAATTGTCAAACTTGAAGCATGTCTATGTGTGTATAAATGTTTTAATTAAAGCTGGAGGTTTGGGGTTTCTTTTGTTTTGTTTTTAGGTTCTCAGTCTTTTTACCAGGAACACAACGATGATATTTTGTGCCTCACTGTAAATCAGCACCCCAAGTTTACCAACATAGTGGCAACTGGCCAAGTAGGTATGTTTGTATTTTTGTAAAAAGAAATTAACATAAAGCATGCAATTAGGGCCTTGTGAGTTCACAATAAATCACAGAAAAATTTGATTATGCTATCTCCGTTTGTATGAGTGTTACTCAGTTACCTGTCCTCTTTATATGTTTCTTTGAGTGTAATTTAATAAAGTTGAACAAAAAAACATTGAGGCATTAAGATTAAGCTTATATTTTGTTTGGAGTGTTAGTAAAAAATATTTTATTTTTTTTAGAAATGTTAAGCCCCAAGAAATTGGTTTGGTTTTATTTAACTATCAGCTTGTGTTAGGCCTTCCTAAGAGCCATAGCCCTTCCAAAGGAGTTTTAATTGAGCTACATCTCTACATGGACTAAACCCAGAATTCTTAAAATAGATATCACTTTATAAAGGTTTTTTCTCATCGGGCAGATTTATAACGCCAGCTTCATGTTTGGATAATATATAGTTGCAATATTCTAGGCAGAACCAAAACCGTAATGGCGTATCCCTACAGAAAAGTTTAGATTTATAGGGAAAATACGTTTCATAGTAACATTCAAATTGATCTATGATATAACCAGACTAATACCTGTGTTTCTAAATTTTGCAGAATAGTATAATTTTTGTAGTCCTACAACCTAATTGCAGTTTTCTTACCTTCAGTTGTTTCTCAGCAGATTCAAAACTACAGTTTCTCTTGGTGCATAGAATACAAAAAACCTCTTTATTTTAGGCAGAATAGCATATTTTTTCCCTGTAGGTTTGTTTTAGGTGTTTCATCTAAATATGGTGAGTTTATCAGAGTTTATTACCTGTTTCCCTCTGTCTTTTGGATTTTCAGATGCGTGCCTTGTTAAAATGGACTCATTAGTTGTAACTCCTTAGCTAAAATAGCTTTATTTCTTGGTGAGTTTCTTGCCTCACATCAATTTAAAGAAATCATTAGTGGAATTTATTTAAATAGAAAAAAATATCAGCAGATTTTTGCCTGTGCTTTGATTGCAAAGAACATTTGCAAGAATTACAAACCGTTTAGTGTCTTTAGGAATTTGCTTTTTCAGCGTATTTCTTAATCAGGCCCTCTTTGCCTTTCCATATGATATAAATATGGGAAGAATGTGAAAATTAATTCTTTGCATAGTTTTTCTTCAGTGTTTGTTTTTCCCAAGAAGCAGCACAGGACCCTTAATGCTTTTTTATTTCATAATCATTTCGACATCAGCTAGCAGTAGAACAATTTTAACTGTTTGTATGTGGATTAAGGCATACGAATCGGGAGCAGATGACTCTTAAAAATTAAACTACAAGACATATTTTTAAGGAGAGAGTTAAATCTGAAAAATGAGCTGGAAGCAAAATATCTTCAAACAATACCTATTTTTAGATTCTGAACAGATGTTAAGGAGCACACACTCTGTAAAGAACATACTTAACTGCTGCTACTTTTCCTACTGATAGGACTGGCACAAACATAGCTTCACCAGCATGATTTACATCTTCAGAAGATGTACAGAAACATTATTTCAAGTATTTTTAAACTGTAATGCTGTTAGGCAAAGTCTCGGTAATGCTTCCCAGTACCTGAACCTTTATAATCCTTATTTCTTAATGCTCCTGTAGAAGAACATTGGGTGTATTTGCCACTTGTCAAGATCAGACTCAAACACTATTTCTTAGTGGAATAGCCATCAGCGGGGTTTTTCTCACTTAATTTGTTAAAATACCAGTAACGTGTCAAATATGGTTTTGATTTAGTTTGGCAGGGAGAGACCTAACTTACACCAGAACTAGATTTTTGTGTTGTAACTCAAAGTGGAAATCAAAATATATTAATTCTATGAATTTTTATTTCTGATATGACCACCTTTGATCAGTACTTGTTCATCTTTAACACTAAAAGCAGTAATGGTGCTGCTGCAATGCAGAGAGGTTACATCGATGTGTGTGTCAGGAAATTACACTAAATGTGGCGTATATTTTCTTTAGCACTTATTTTATTTCTGATCTAATTATTTTTCTGCTGCTTTTCCATTACAGGAGACTCAGCAGATATGTCAGGTAAGGGAAATAAAATTTTAACATCTTGAGGTGTAGTTAGCCTATTTAGTAGCCGTCTGCAGCTTCATAGAGCAATAAGTGACGTGAATTCATTTTTAGTTTATTAAACCCCTGTATCAGTCATATTACTGTCAGCACTGAATATAAACCACAGCAGCTCAGCAAATTCTTAATATAGAAACAATTAAAATGTTAGAACACACTTAAAAACTACTTTTGTTTGTAACGTATTCCCTTCTTGCTGCCCAGTGATTAGTGAGTTCTAATTGCATATTGCTACTGTAGCATTCCTGTGTACACTTGCAGGTTTTATAGATGTGTTGGGGCTGACAATTAACATTTATTTCAGACACTCAATTGACTATAATTTTAAATGTGTATTTCTAAAGTAAATTCCATTGAGGAGGCCTAGGTGACTGAGTGAAAAAACCAATCACCTTTCACATTTGCGTATGATTGTCATGCAGTTATTACCACTGATCCAAAATGCTTGTTATGCTGTCAGTTTAATTTTTTCTGTATCATTTTGGGTCTTTGACAGTCTTCACTTAGCAATTTTTTTTTATTAATTTGTTGGTTTTTGAACTGCAATCTTAAAAATTCATCACCATCACGTGTGAATGATTCATTGTTGAGCAGCCATAGTTGTCTTGTGACACATCTTCAGAGATGCATAAATGTGTGTTCATGTGTACCTAGAAAGTATAATAATCTTCATGTGGATCTAAAGCTTGTTCTGTGAAGAACAAATATACAATGGCATTTTTAATGTGTGTTGACTTCTTTTAAATATGCCAAATTGTGCTTGCTCTAAGGATGGGAGGAAGAATATAGGTACCTTTTCCCACACTTCTAAACTGTATACAAGAAGCAGTGATGATATGGCTGTCTATATGCAAGTCCTGTGTATAGTGCCTGGAGACTTTCTGTCTCTCACATGCCTTCTTCCCACTGCAAGTTTAGTTTGAGCTTGTGTATATTACTAAACTCTCTTGTCACTGCCTGAAACCACACACTCTTACTTTTTTCTTCTTTATGGGACCATGAGTCTGGAATCCAAGCTGCTGCCTGCCTTCATTAGAAAGTTGCAGAGTTTCACTTAAAATTTATCAATGACTATTTGGCACCTCTGTTACCAACAACTTCTGCTTTTCTAATTCCAGTTTTCTGTTGTCTACATTGATGCAGGGGTTCTTGAAGCAGTAATGTTTGTAAGAGGCTGGAACAGCAAACTGAGTTCCATAATGACTTGATATAGATTTGCTTCATCTTACTGAAGGTATTTTTTGTCCTGCCAGCCTATGGTAGCTTTATCTAACTTCTCCCAGAAGGAGATGACACCTTAGAAAAATCACTCGTGTGAGAGCAGAGGTTGAGCAGCCAGAGAACTCAACATGAAGGACACAATGTCAGGACAGAGACTTTCAGAAGAACACTACCAAGTAGGAGGACTCCAAGAGTCCACGTTCTCTGTCCTGCAAATCTTGCTCTGAAAGATTTTGTCAGTTCTTATTAATGAAACCCAGGTCCAAGTTTCACTCTGCCACACAACAGAGGAATTTTGGCCAAGGTTGTAGAGGTGCACAGGTCAAGAGCAGTGCAGAGTTCTTCCAAGGGGAGTGCTAAAGAGGGAAAAGCAGCTCAGAGCTATAATAAAGTGTTCTTTTCCCTTCATTTTCCATAAGGACAGAAAGGAGTTTGCTGAAAATTTGGAGACATGCTGGTTTTTGCCAACCACTGCCCTTTCTATTTTAATGACCTGTCTATACTACGCTGTTAGTACCTCTCAAAAGGTGATAATAACAGCATGTTGGTGCCATGAGAGAAAATTCCAGTGGGAAATAGAGGAAATTAGGAAGATTGTTCTAAAGACTATTTTGGAACAGCTGTGGAATTGTGCCCAAAAACATAGTTTCATGTTGAAATTTTACCGAGGTCCCTGTGCCTATTGTTTCCCATCATGTGTGTGCCTTTGAGGAACTAGATTTAACTGATTAGAAACACAAAGCATGGAGCTGAAATATAATTTAGTTTATGTGAATCTGGGTCTACGTCAATAACCAGTAACCCCCAGGTTCTGCAGTCAGATTTGCTAGAGATGAGAAGTAAAGAAGTTTGAGAGAGAATCTTGCATGTCTTGAAAAGGCCCTAAATGCTGTTCAGAGATTGCAAGCTATACATGGATTGCTAGATCTTTGGAGAAGGCACTGTATTTGGAAAAAGCAAAACTAGCCATCATCATAATAGAAATAATCACGTACATTAGAAGCATGGGAAGAAGTTTTCTACTGCAAAGAGCTTGCAGTCTGAACAATGCAGGCTAAATGCAATAGCCTAGTTCTTCTACATCACTAAGCAAGCTGGTTGTTCAGATGACGTTCTCCTGTGAGAGCATGCATTTCAGACAGATGGCCATTTTGTAGAAAAGGAGATTTTGGTCTTGCACTGTAAACTAATTTCTCTATAGCTCTCAGTTGTCCAAAAGCCCCATGGAGAAATTACATTCTTGCTGATCTACTCAATATTTACGAAGGTTTTTGATTTAGCGTGCTGAGCTAAGTTTTACTAGGAGAAAAGCAGGAGAAGACAGCTTGGTTGCAGAGTTTCTGCTGTGCTTCAGAAGTCCAGTAACAGGTTAAGTAAAGTTTTCATCTGCAGTAGTGTAATGAGGCCAGTTTCCCTGTCCTACTTAGTGATGCTGTTGGCCATAAATTGGTTTCCAAAGGGAGGCCAAAATCTCCTTTCTTTTCTTTCTTTCTATTTTTTTTTGTCTGACCAGAACAATTTTATGTCTTACTAAAAAAATACTAACTGCTTCAATAAGCCAGTAATCAGTGAATTCCAAAATCCGTGCTAATTGCCTGTTCTTATCTTTGTGCAGCTACAGCTCCTTCGATTCACGTGTGGGACGCGATGAACAAGCAGACGCTGTCGGTGCTGCGGTGCTACCACTCCAAGGGCGTTTGCTCAGTCAGTTTGTCTTACTAAAAAAACACTAACTGCTTCAATAAGCCAATAATCGGCGAATTCCAAAATCCGTGCTAATTGCCTGTTCTTATCTTTGTGCAGCTACAGCTCCTTCGATTCACGTGTGGGACGCGATGAACAAGCAGACGCTGTCGGTGCTGCGGTGCTACCACTCCAAGGGCGTTTGCTCAGTCAGTTTCAGTGCCACGGGCAAACTGCTGCTCTCCGTAGGGCTGGATCCCGAGCACACCATCACCATTTGGAAGTGGCAGGAAGGTAGGGAAGAGGCTGTAGGATGTGTTTATGTTGTCAGAGGGCACGTTGGCTCGAGTCAGGAGCGATTGTAACATAAACGTATCAGCAGATCAAAAGTTATTGCAATAAATGCTGTGCACTGTACAATAAGAGGTAAAATAAATGTACTTGCCCATTCTAGTAACTGCTAAATATATGTCCTTTTGAAGTACTGTATGAAGATCAAGATAGTTCACTGATTTCCAGTTAGAATAATAAAAGAAAATTACAGTATTTTTTTTTATTATTATTTCAGTTATTTTTTTGCTGCTTGATAAAAACTCTTTATAACGTCTTTTTTGCTCCCAGAAGAAATTTTCTATTTTTCCCTGCTCTTCCTCTTCCTTAACATCTGATTACTAATGAGGTGGTTCTACTCCTAAAATTATCCCCCCAAAATTGCAAATTGCAGAAATGTGATGCCAGTACAGTTCCTCTATGCAGCGATGTAACTGGTGCCTTAAGCTGTACTACGTGTTTTCAGGTTGGCTTTGATCTTTGTGGATCAAAATGTCTGATTTTAACACCTCTGAAGAGACTGCAAAGGTGTTACCTTTGTATCTAAGACATATGTAACAAAGTCAGTTTCTGCATTTTCTGCAGAAAGAAGAAAGTTTCCTAATTTTGGACATTATTTGGTGAGAAGTCATTCATTTGTCACTTGTAATTTGGCCAAAGTTTGGGATTTTCAGAGTCGTCATAGGAATTCAAGAGGAGATGGAAAGTTACTTGGATCTGAGCTCCTAACTTTTTTATGCTCCTGAAGAAATTAAAAATTAAATCTAGATGGCCTCATTAGGTGTTATACTTTACTACTGTGTCTTATTAAATGATTTTTTTTTTAAATCTGCATCTTAATTTTGTTTTAATTTAGAAGCAGTTTGTGCTTTTCTTCCCAACCTGTGTGGTCTTGGATGAATCAGGATTCTCCATAATTTTTATATATTTTTTTTAACCATAAAGATATATTTTTCTCAGCAAATTTAAAATGTCCATTTTTCTTTCTGCCAGGTGCCAAAATCGCCAGCCGAGCTGGTCACAACCAGCGTATATTTGTAGCAGAATTCAGACCAGATTCAGATACCCAGTTTGTTTCTGTGGGAGTGAAACACGTGAGGTTCTGGACACTGGCTGGAAGAGCTCTTCTCAGTAAAAAAGGGCTGCTGAGCTCCATAGAAGATGCCCGGATGCAAACGATGCTTTCTGTAGCTTTTGGAGCGGTACGTACCTTAACAAACTATTTTAAAATGCATACAAACAGAAATTTGTTTTACTCTTCTGCCTTTATTGAGTTCAATGAGACTTTTCTAACCTGCTGAAGGGTATGTCAGTTGTTTTATTTAGCTCATTGTAGCATTTCTAGTACTTTCCTGCTGGTTAGAACTGATACCAGCTTTTTGTAGAACAGAAAAGAAAAAAGATTATGGATTTGTATGCTTTCAAAAAAGCAAATATAGGTGATTTTGATTTTTGGAACTGTAACTGGCCTGTGGTTTCATTTTTCATGAGACTATCTCTTTTCCAGAGTGGTGTCTCTCTCTTTCAGGTACCTCTGATTTAAGAGAGAGTCCTACAAAGCAACAAGATATGTTCCAAATGATAACTACGAGAGATGCGCAGCTCAGCCATTATTAGTCTGGGGTTGGGGAAACCTCTGAGAACTTCCTTAGGGAGGGCCAGATTCTTAGCATGAAAATCAGGCTGTATGAATGACCTGGAGTATGGTATGAGGCTGTTTGAGGATGCAGGGGTTTTGTTAAAAGCTGTGCAAACTGAATAAGCCAAACCTGGTGTGTTCTCCATACTTCCTGTAGGGATCAGTTCTGGGAGTGCTTTTCTTCCTTGGTTTTTGTCTCAGAAGGAGGTGGTTCAGATGCTCCTAAACAGGAATTGGAAACAGCCCAACAGTTACAGTGGGAGTATGATCAGAGGATCTACTTACAAACTCATTTCGAGTCTTCTTGTATTTACTCATTTATTAGGGCATCCCCACACATACCCCTTAAAAAAAGGATGTAGAACATCAACCCATCTCAGCCAAGGAAAGTGTTCTTGCCGAATCTCTGCTTGTGTGCTGGTACCCTAAAATGCTACACGTGATACTGGATTTGAGGATTGTTCACTTAAGTTACTAGAACAGTTTTGTTCAATGACTAGTACCTAGTTTTCTCAATACTAGCAATGACTAGGTTTTAGTTTTCTCCTTTTTTACCCCAGTTTGCACACCTGATGGGCTGAAAATGTAGATAAACCCTGTGGCTGGCACTTAAGTCACTGCATGTCCTCTTGCAGTGCAGAGCCAATTAGCTACAGGAAAGCATGTTTCAGGCTTCAAGAAAAAGCTCATTGTTTCATCCCTACAGGTTCTTATTACCCCTTCCACAATTTGCTCTTACACAGCAGCAAATAAAAGCAATTTAACCAAAATGCAAATGGTGATGATCTTTATTTCTGAATGTTTTTCGTCCTGCCTCACTCAGGATCAGATGATGAGTATGTTTTTTCCCCTTTTCAGAATAACTTGACGTTTACAGGTACTATCAGTGGAGATGTTTGTGTTTGGAAAGATCATGTGTTGATACGAATTGTGGCCAAAGCTCACAACGGACCTGTTTTCACAATGTATACCACGTTGAGAGATGGTTTGATCGTCACAGGAGGCAAAGAAAGGCCGTGAGTTTTCTTTTTTCTGCATGCACATGTATTCTTTAAAAGTGGTTTGGATTCATCCCATCCAACACTAGGCAGCTGAGACATCAAAGCTAGAAGAATAGTCACTTTTGGATCCCTGAATAGGTGGTAGGAAAACAAAGTACCATGTCTCAAGTGCAGATAAGCCCACATGAGCTTCAAGTACCTATTTTTTTCCATTGATTTATAAGAGAAAACCTAGAGATGCCAGGATGCAAACCTAGGTGCCCTGCTGAAGAACCTGAAGTCAAGGGGGATGAATCAGAATCTAAATAGTGTCATTGGATATTAGGAAAAATTTTTACACGGAAAGGGTTATTAAGCCTTAGAATGGGCTGCCCAGGGAAGGGGTTGAGGCACCATCCCTGGAGGTGTTCAAAAGATGGGTTGACATAGAGCTTAGAGACATGGTTTAGTGATGGGTTTTTATCTGAGTTAGGTTGATGGTTGGACTAGGTGATCTTACAGGTCCCTTCCAACCTGGACAATTCTATGATACTGTAATTTTCACAAAAGTGAAAATCTTCTGTCATTTATTTCACAATAGTAAAATACATATCTTTCCTGTTTCCCTTAACTATATTTTGATAAAGTCTGCCTGTCTTAATGAGAAGATGGGAGTTTGTTCACATGCTTAACTGTTCCTTTGACCAGACAAATTCCCTAAGAGCTACTAATTCAGACAGAGCTTGAGCATCCATTTTTCAACTTGTTCTGTAAAGTAGTACCAGGACTTTGAATCCGCATTTCTTGCGTAGCTGGGAGGCTCAGCATATTCAGTAAAAACAAATGGAATCTTTAATAATTTAAAACATATTAGAACACCTCATTTACAGTACATTACATTAAATAATGCAGTTTTTTCACACATTAATTGTCTTTTTTTGTGCCAGCCTTTATACTCATGGTTGTTCCTGATTTCTTCATAGTTCCAAGGAAGGAGGAGCAGTTAAGCTCTGGGATCAAGAGCTGAAACGATGTCGTGCCTTCAGACTGGAGACGGGACAGCTGACGGACTGTGTTCGCTCTGTTTGCAGAGGCAAAGTAAGAAAAGTGGCTTTAAAATAAAGCTTATCACTTGTGGATTGATCTATAGCATTAAATATATGATAAATAGTTTACTCTCTCTTATAATTAGTATTTGAAATTAAAGGTTGAGTCATTTATTTATGACTTCATTTTACAGCAGAAAAAAAATCTACTTCAGGAGATCTGTCTTCCTTAGGATAATATTCTGTGTATATTTTTATTAAAGACAAACTAAGGATTTCTTTCCTGTTTTCTTTTCACACTTCAAATATCTGACTTGAAATCAGTAACTCAACTGATTTATATATAGCTTTGTACTTCAATAAATATTAGGGCAGTTTAAAAAATAAATTATCTTTGATTATTTAATTACTTGATTTCAGCAAATCTTCTTGACAGAACTCTAGCTTTGGATTACATCTTTATTACTGTTCATCCCAAGTAGTTAATGTGTTATGTCAGAGGTAATTCTTTTACTGTTTTTCAAGGGGAAAATTCTCGTTGGGACAAGAAATGCCGAGATAATTGAAGTTGGAGAGAAAAATGCTGCATGTAACATTCTAATTAATGGTCATATGGATGGACCAATCTGGGGCCTGGCAACGCATCCTTCCAGAGATTTTTTCCTTTCTGCTGCAGAAGATGGCACAGTAAGACTCTGGGATATTGCTGAAAAGGTAGGTCTTGGAGAATAGTGGTTATTTAGGCCAAAAAAATAAAAAAATCTAGACTTGTGGTGTTGTTGAGGACTCAAAACTTGGTCTTTTTTAATGTATTCGGAAAGTAAACTGTCTAATAGTGGTAAATAGTTTGCATAAGATACTTTTGAAATATGAACAAATAGAAACATTTACTCTTCTGGGTTTTTATTTCTTCACAGAAGATGCTGAACAAAGTCAGCTTAGGACACGCAGCTCGTACTGTTTGTTACAGCCCAGAAGGTGATATGGTGGCTATTGGCATGAAAAATGGAGAATTTATTATCTTGCTTGTGACCTCTCTAAAAATTTGGGGGAAAAAACGGGACAGAAGATCAGCGATTCAAGATATCAGGTCAGAAAATGAGATACCTTTGTCTATTCTAGTATTACAGAAATCTGTATTAATTTGATTTTTAAAAATAAAATTTTATGTTCCGAGGAGCATTGCAATGATATTTCAGAGAGCTTGAATCAGTGAGTGAAATGTTTGTAGCCTTGTAAGTATAGTGTCAGAAAGTCGAAGTCAACAGGGGCATGTCACAAAGTTGTTAGTCCATTGAGATGGTAATGAGATCAGATAATGAACAGGGTTCTTCCAGAGATGTACCCAGTTCACTCATATGTGAGGGCTGTACCAAAATAATTGTGACCACCTACTTCATGTACATTCTCTGAAAATTTTGTTTCAGAAGTCATTTTGTTTCGCAGACAAAATACTCCATTTTTAGTTCTGGACAGCTGATCCTTGAAATGCAGATTTCCCCGTGCTTCCCAAATATTAGCATCTGTTGTAAGTGCCAACCTGTGTTCATAAAAACCTTTTCTCTGTGCAGGTTTAGCCCAGATTCTCGTTACTTGGCGGTCGGTTCCAGTGAGAATGCGGTGGATTTTTATGACCTGACTTTGGGTCCCACGCTAAATCGAGTCAGCTATTGCAAAGATATCCCAAGTTTTGTCATCCAGATGGACTTCTCTGCAGATAGCTCTTATCTCCAGGTATCAGTTGTTAACTGTTCAGGTTACTGAATGGCAAATGTACTCACGACAGCTACTCTGTAAGTGTCCTCATGACATTAAATAATATTCTCCCCGTATTAAATACAAGAAGTAAGTGTAGGAACAAGAAACTGATTTCAGAATCGCTGTGATGTGTCTCCCTGCCTCTGTGGTGCTGGTGGGCTGTCTTAAAAGAGGACGGGGTACACTCTGTCAGTCTGTGGGCCCCAGGAGCCTGTGAATTCCTCATATCCCTGACCAGGACCATCACATTCCTCATTGCTTCAGCATGAGCCTTTGTTGAGCAGCACCAAAACCATGGTGTTACAGCTCCCAGGCACGGGGCTCAAGACATTTCTTAAAATAAAAATAAAATCAAAATAAAAAATAGGTACTTCCTATATTTCACTCATCTGAGAGGAGGAATAAGCTGCTCTCACTATCAAATCAGCATCTCCAGGCTGAGAGGAGTACTTTTGTGTCAGTTTTAAAGATAGGAGTTTATTTTGCCTTATTTATACACACACATACATACTAACACACGCAATAGAGAGAGAGAATTAATACCTGCAGAATGTGAGATGTTTCAATTATTTTTTTATTAATTAAACATTTAAAAATGTAAGATTTCTTATGCTTTCTCACTGTTGCTTTATGCTTGTGTAGATTGTTGAGAATTTTCAACTCATTAAGCAAGTTTTATTAATAGCTAAGTTACTTAGAGTAAAAGAAACTATCAAGAACATGCTTTTCAAAGCCCTTTAGAATTATGTTTCATCTTTTCAAACAAGCTCATGGATTCTAACTTCTCTGTGGTCATCTCAAAGGTCTCTACTGGGTCTTACAAAAGGCAAGTCTATGAAGTGCCTTCAGGAAAGCAGCTTGTGGACCAGGCTGTGATTGACAGAATAACGTGGGCTACGTGGACAAGGTAAATAAATGAGTCACACCTTTACACCTTGCAACTTTCAGGGGAAGCACCTACTGTTTAAAAGCAACATTTCATCCCTTCATTCTGTCAGATAATTTCTTTTAATGCACCCATTTGCTCTGGCAACACACCAGGTAAGAACAGCGCAGCAGAAGACGGTACGTAGGAGATTCCCTCAGTAGAACTTGAGCTGTTTGACCCGTGAGGACATCCGATAAAATCTGATCTCTCTCGTGTCAGCCTTTTCTTTGCTGTAGAGTTTTTTCTCTTCCTCAGTAGCTTTTTGTTGCACTCTGCCAGTTACCTGGAATACTGCACTCTTTGCTTCAAAAAAGCCATTTGGGGATGAAAGTGAAAAATTAAAACATATTAATATATGAAAAGTCAATAAAAGACTGTGATAATTCAAGTTTTATTTACAGTATTACACTAATTGTGTCTCCATATTAAAGTTGCTATTAATGTTTGCATATTAAAAGGTATACAAAAGTACTTTTAAATACCTTTGAGTTGTTATATTTCGTTCAAAATAGACTTAGAAATTACATGAAGAATGAGATCATATTTTATTTATATTTCACATTTAAATAATTTATTTTATATTCTGTGCAAATCTGATTTCTATGCCTTATTTCAGGCTCCTTTGCCTGCTTTTAGTTATTGTCCTCTGACTAGCAACCTCAGACAGAAATTGAGAATAAATGCATGAAAATTTTCCACATACGAGTCACTTCGAACAATAATAATCCTGACTATTTCCTGCAAGACATGACTAAAACTACGAGCTCTGAAAATCTCATTTTGGTGGCTCCCTGGTTCTGTTTGGGTAATCCAGTTTTGTCACCTCTTTGATATGTAAACAAGAAATGTGTTTTCTGACCCAATTTGGTATGTCTGAAGTAAATCATGCCTTTTTGACTGTAGGGCACTGACTTTGGGGGGGAAAATGACAGAAAATTTCCCAAGTCATTCACTTATTAGCAAATGATAAAGTGCTTGTTTCTGTGCCTTATTGGAAATATCCACACACATGTAAGCTGTGCTGAATAAAAGCTTTGCAAAGGAAATTTTCTATAAATGGCTGGTTTGGAATCTTAAGATAATTATGTTTTCTGTTCAGGACGGTTTATCTCTCTCTGATTATAATGAAAAAACTTCACTGGACTCAAGGAAACTTTTCATCTAATTGATAGGAAAATGTTACAGAATCAACATAACATAATTAGAATATAAATATTTTTATTTTTCAGGAGCTGAAACATTCATCTAATGCTTTATGCTGTGACATTCTGGTTTTAATTGTCCTGTCTTTATTTTTTAATTTTTTTTTTGGCAAATGCCTCACTGGACAATATTGGTACTAATTGATTTTACCTCTGCGTCTTAGTGTTGTCATCAGTCACATTATTTGGAGAATTATGTCACTGAATCAGTTTCAGAAGCAATTATGGAATGATAGAAAAATTAATTACAGAGTAAAACCTATATGAGATGTGTAAGCATAAAATGTAAAAATTACAAAATGACATTCTTAAAAAAGCAGTTACAATATGAGAGCTGTTTACTGTTTCCTTACTCTGTTGTTTTTGCTGTAGTTTTCAAAAGAATCTCTTGCTCTTCCGTTGCAGTGTTCTAGGGGATGAAGTGATTGGAATCTGGTCCCGGCACGCGGAAAAAGCCGATGTAAACTGTGCCTGTGTCTCTCACTCGGGAATCAATCTTGTAACAGGCGATGACTTTGGCATGGTCAAACTGTTTGACTTCCCCTGTCCTGAAAAATTTGTAAGAACTTTACTCTTTTTGCATCATTACAACAAGTACTGTTGGTATTACGGTCCTGTATTGTTTCTCTAAATGTCTGATGGATGATCAGAGGCTGGAGCACCTCTGCTCTGAAGACAGGCTGGGGGAGTTGGGCTTCTTCATCCTGGAGAAGAGAAGGCTCCAGGGAGACGTTATAGCAGTCTTCTTTTGTCTGAAGGGGCTACAGGAGGGATGGGGAGGGACTTTTTATCAGGGAGTGGAGCGATAGGATGAGGGGTAATGGTTTTAAACTGGAAGAGAGGAGATTTAGATTAGATATTAGAAAGAAATGTTTCACTACGAGGGTGGTGAGACACTGGAACGGGTTGCCCAGAGAAGCTGTGGCTGCCCCATCCCTGGAGGGGTTCAAGGCCAGGCTGGAGGGGGCTTGGAGCAACCTGGTCTGGTGGGAGGTGTCCCTGCCCGGGGCAGGGGGATGGAACTTGATGATCTTTAAGGCCCCTTCCGTTCTATGATTCTATGAAATGTTTCCTTCCCTAAATTTGTAGCTTTTTAATGCATCTATGTTACTTGAGCTCTAGGGACTCATAGGAACGCTTCACCTCAAAGTTTTCCTACCATTTTGTGCAGTAGCTCCTGCTATAAGCTCCTGTAGGTGTTAGTTATTGTCTGCTGGTGTGTCAGCACCGTGCTGTCAGGCTGGAAGTCCCAGAGCCCTTAGCTGTATTTATCCACATCTCCAGCCTCCCTTTGACAGACGAGGAAGGCAGCTGGTAATTCTAGTCCCATCTGTGTATTTCCATGGATGAAGAGTTTACAGATTTTCAGGATTTGAGACTGCACAGTGTAAACTGCTTACACACTTAAAATGACAATAGTTTTTTCAGTGTTAGGAATTTAATACAAAACGTAGAGGTCAATCCGTGACAAGCTGTATTTCCTTTGATCGTGTTAGCATGAGCGTTGTTCCCAATGTGCAGGTGCTGTCTCCTTTGGTGACAATTCAATCTGCGTTGCAGCTCCACGGTAGCTTTCCTTCAGGAGATCTTTCAGGCTTGAAAACCTGTGTAACATTCTGACTGGGGTTCTAATTGACAAGAGGCTGAACATGAGCCGGCAGTGTGCCCAGGTGGCCAAGAAAGCCAATGGCATTCTGGCTTGTATCAAAAATAGTGTGACCAGCAGAAGTAGGGAGGTGATTGTCCCCCTGTACTCAGCACTGGTGAGGCCACACCTCGAGTATTGTGTCCAGTTTTGGGCACCTCAATACAAGAGAGATATCGAGGTGCTGGAGCGAGTGCAGAGGAGGGCAACGAAACTAGTGAAGGGCCTGGAAGACAAATCATATGAGGCATGGCTGAGGGAGCTGGGACTGCTTAGTATGAGGAAGAGGAGGCTGAGGGGAGACCTCATCCCTCTCTACAACTACTTGAAAGGACACTGTAGAGAGGTTGGTGCTGGTCTCTTCTCACAGGTAATTAATGACAGAACAAGAGGGAACGGCTTCAAGCTCCAACAGGGTAGGTTTAGACTGAACTTGAGGAAGGAATTTTTCACAGAAAGAGTGGTCGGGCATTGTAATAGGCTGCCCAAGGAGGTGGTTGAGTCACCGTCCCTGGCTGTGTTTAAGGGCCGTTTAGATGGGGTACTGAGGGACATGGTGTAGGGGAGGACTTTGTAGAGGAGGGTAGATGGTTGGACTCGATGATCCCAAGGGTCTCTTCCAACCTGAACGATTCTATGATTCTATGATATAAATACGTGATGCAATAAAAGGGTAGATAAAAACATGATTTAGGAGGACATAGAGTATTTAGACCCTCATTTTATTGTTTTTATTTTGTTTTATCTTTTTTTTTTTTTCCAGGCAAAACACAAGCGGTTTTTAGGTCACTCTGCCCACTTAACGAATATTCGATTTACGAGCGGAGACAGATACGTGGTGAGCGCTGGAGGGGACGACTGCAGGTGTGTATCCCTCCCCGGGGTGTCCAGAGGTCCAGCAGGGCACGGGGACAGCCCAGAGTGGTGTAAAGCTCAGGTTCAGTGTCTTCATCTCTTTGTATATAAGGAAATGGATATTTGCAACAAAATGGATAGACCAAGTTTTAGTATGAAGAGTTAAGTTTTAATTGATTAAAATAATTGAACATCTGTATTCAGAGCGCTATACTTCTACCGAAGTTTTTCATTCGACTGTATTAGCCGTCTCTTTTAATAATATTGCAGTTTGTAAAATCTCCTGTTTGCTCTCTTTTTGAAACCCCAGCTTATTTGTCTGGAAGTGCGTGCACATGCCTCACTGAGGGAGCCCCCGAGCCTTGGGAGGAGGACGCCGCGGGAGGTGCCAGGCGCGAAACCCCCAGGACTGCGACGTGGCGCTCGGCCCTGCCCTGCCTGTGTGAGAAACGGTGCTGACCCCCGGGACGGGGGGGCTGGGGCTCCCCAAAAACCAGTCTCTCCAGTCCTGCAGAGGGGACGGACTGTAACTAATAACGCTGGGGCCCTTTAGATCCGCTTCAGCGTCGGATAATCCGGGTTTGTATTTCACTCACTGCCAGATGTTGGGAATGGGATGCGTGGATGGAAGGAAAAAGGGAATTGTTAATCAATGTGCAGTTCCACGGTAAGATGCTGGGGTTTTCATCGAGAGACGGTATTTCTGACCTAGTGCTGTACGTTGATCTATTTTCAGCATGAATGTTTCTCCTTTAAGTTTTGGGGTCTGAATATCATGGGGGGAAAAACAAAAAAAAAAAAAGAGTATTCCATATTTTATTACCAAAAGAAACCATATATTATCTCTTAAATATATAGTATTTTAATAAATGTTTAATTATTATAAAGGAAATGATATTTCTATGACTGGTCTAAAGGGAACATCATCTGGTGAAGCAGGGAAAAAAAAAAAGAGAGCTGATTCCTTAGCACTTATACAATATTTCTGTATTTCGAGGCCTGGGTCACAGTCCTGTCTGGTGAAAGCCGTTGGATATGCATGATCTTTCATGGCTAATTTAGTGTTTTTGTTGCACTTAAACATTAAATTAGTTTCTGTGAGCAAAAATAGATTTGCTCACTTTGCGAGTGCCTTGCCCACAACCTAAAAGTCTAACTCTCCGATTTTTGCCTTGTGAATAAAAGTATTCTCAGTGGAAGAGGGGTCATTGCTGTGTTGCTTGACTGGGCTGGCAGCCTCCGTGCTGGAAACGTGGACTCTAGGGCGAGGGCTTTATCGTCTTCATAGTGACAAAGCTTGGGGTGTCACCAGTTGCAAAAATAGAATTTCATAGCAATATGAATTGATTTTATTTTCTCAGCATCATTGGGGGAGGGAGGGGGGGATTCAGAGAGAATATAAACTTTCCAAATGTTGTATTTTGTACATTTGAACTTTTTAACAGAGTTAGGACTAGCTGGGAGAGGTCTCTACCCAGATTTCTTTCCCCATTGTAAAAAGTGTCCGATCGTACGCTTCTTTAAATGGACCCGCTGTCATCTCCAGAGTAAGTGCTTTTATTCTGTCCTGTGCCAGCTGAGACTCTGAGCTGGAAAAATATTGATGTGATGATGAAAACCTGAACAGAGCTGTGTTTTGGGTACCAGCGAGGAAGATTTCAGCAGCTGCTTGTCTAAGTCACGCCATTGAGGTGCATTACAGACTGAACCTGGTTTGTCTAAGCCATTGAGGTGCATTACAGACTGAACCTGGTTTTTAATCAGTGCAGTTAATTTCCATGCAACTTAGAAGGGAAGAGAAGTCACTAATTGTCAGCTGCTCTCATCATGACATTCTCCTCTGAACGTAAAGCTCTTTGTCTCTGTGGAATCCAGCATTGCTTCAACGCTGGCTTTTGTTTTGGGCAGTCTGTAGGCTTTGATACTATCCACCTAATTGTCAGCTGCTCTCATCATGACATTCTCCTCTGAACGTAAAGCTCTTTGTCTCTGTGGAATCCAGCATTGCTTCAACGCTGGCTTTTGTTTTGGGCAGTCTGTAGGCTTTGATACTATCCACCTCTTGCATTCCTTTACGCCAGGTAAAAGTAAAATAAGAAATAAACCTCATCTCTTCCTGTGAGCATCTTGTGTGCGTGGTGGTCACAGAGGGAATGGCAGGACTTGTGTATAGAAGAGAAGGGAGAGAAAAGTTAAGGAGCCAGACTTCTCCGAGGTCCAGAAATGCTTGTTCAGTGCTGTGCAGAGCTAGTTACCCAATGGTCTCAGATAATATATTTTGTATATGGAGCTGTAACAGATATTTATTTTCAAGAAGTTGATGAACTAAACAATTATCAGGTTTCCCAGTGGGTGGTCCTTAGCCAAGCTGTGCTGGTCCTGCACCTCTGTGGATTTGGTCATGAGCCTACGGGGAGATCTGGAACGTTTGTGACTTCAGGGGAATTGTGGATGAGAAGGCCATGCTGGTCCTGCAGCTGTGCCTCTGCAGGAACAAAACCTCTGTGGATTCAGTCATGAGCCTACGGGGAGATCTGGAACATTTGTGACTTCAGGGGAATTGTGGATGAGAACTGAGGTCAGAGCTGGTCTGTCTCATAACCACGTTGCCTGCCTGATTTGTATGAACACCAGTAGCTGGCATTTCAGTCTTACTGTGCCAGAGGAATCAGTTGCAGTAAATGCTCCTCTACAGCCAGGATTTCCCGTAGGAAACACACATCTGTGTGGGACTTCTTGACTTGAAGTGAGATTTGTCCTGCCTCTATTGTAAAGTTGCCTTTTGTCGGTTCGTGTTGGATGGCTGTTTAAGAGCTCCCTCATAGTCTGCCCTACTCAGACTGCTAGACCCGACTTCAAATTTTTCTGCCTCTTTTGAGTTTTCTCCTCAAAATCCCAGGCTAAGTGTCTCCCAGACTCACAATCCTTCTGTAGGCCTTCACGCAATGAAAGAGGTATGTGGGCTATCCAGAGGATGGCTCCTTGGATCCCTGCCACCGGTCATGTCCTCTTCTCCTCCCTCCCCTCCATCCCTTCATTAATGCTGTGCCTCTCCACTGATAATGTGTCCATTGGTGCTTTTGCCCCAAGGAATCTCAGATGCCAGCGGTGAGGTGCCAGGGGGAAGGTGACAGATGGATTGCAGCAGGGCCACCCTTGGGGACACGAGGCTGGTGACTGTGGTGAGAGAGCCTGAGCCTCCACATCTCCTGGCTTCTGTGCCCTCCTCCAAACCTCACCGCTCCCGTCAAGGGCTGGGATGGGAGCTGGAAGCTGAGGAGATCTTGGACAACACAGCTACCAGCCTCGTCACCCCTACTGCAGGCAGTGTCCCTAGCCAGTGTTTTCCCTGGCAAACCGGTCAGTGGTCTGCCAGGGAAAATGGGATCAGCCAGCTGGGAAGGGTGGGGAATGCCGAGGAGAAGAACGGGCAGATCCTCAGCTGCAGTTTGGAGTGTGTTGTGTAGGAGCATCTGCTGATGAGAACGGCTGGCTGTGAGCGTGGGTAAAGATGGCAGCTTTTGTGGGGCTTCTAGTCTTTTTTTGTCCGTGATGGTGCTTGTCACTGTGCCTCATTTGCTGTTTACATTAAATGCTACTGTAGTCATTTGCTAATTGTTGCCCCCAGTGCTTGAAGGACGTGTGTGTGGATGGGACCGGGCAGTGTCCCTAGCCAGTGTTTTCCCTGGCAAACCGGTCAGTGGTCTGCCAGGGAAAATGGGATCAGCCAGCTGGGAAGGGTGGGGAATGCCGAGGAGAAGAACGGGCAGATCCTCAGCTGCAGTTTGGAGTGTGTTTTGCAGGAGCAGCTGCCATCGTCTGCTGATGAGAACGGCTGGCTCTGAGCGTGGGCAAAGATGGCAGCTTTTGTGGGGCTTCTAGTCTTTTTTTGTCCGTGATGGTGCTTGTCACTGTGCCTCATTTGCTGTTTACATTAAATGCTACTGTAGTCATTTGCTAATTGTTGCCCCCAGTGCTTGAAGGACGTGTGTGTGGATGGGACCGGAGTGCGGCTGCGGTGGGAGGATGGAATTAACCCTGTAGGACAGGTCAGGGACGATGCTGGGATGTGGAGGGACTAGTGACAACATCTCTTTGGGAAGCATCAGAGAGGAGAGACGTGGGCAGGAGGGCTCGGGCTGAAGCTGGAGACAACCTTTTCTGTTATGATACAGCACCTAGGAAGGGGAAGCGAAAGTCCTTTTTATAATTGAATCACTCATAGTGGATGATTTAATTCTTAATTGTCTTTCCAACGCTTTTTCTGGCTAGCAGCAAACAGACATCTTTAAAGTCAGCAATACTTTTTGTAATAAAAGAAATAAGACTAGAGAACTGATTCAATAAAAGTGAAATGACATTTCACTTCAAAAAAAAAAAAAGTGCCCTTGGAAGCTCTTGAAATGTGCTTAGAAAAAAAAGAATGAGAGAAGGAAAATCCAGCTCCTAGGAGCAAACAAAAATGACAAATAAACACATTTAGAACTGGAAGTTGCCATAGTGTGGGAAGTGAGGAACACCGTTGAGATTAGGTCAGGGAGGACAAATTAGCCAAACGTATTGAATCATTTAGACTTGAAATTCTTCATTTCTTTATTCTTAAGGAGGCAGTCATCATATATGACTTTCTCATTTTGATAGGGAAGGCAAGAGACGGTGTAAAACTAAAGATGAAGAAAGCATTTCAGAAAATTAACACTACTTTGTCACTTGTCAGCTGAAGGAGAGCATTCATCCAGAGTAACTTCTGACTTTGCTCGGTATCAGGGTTTCAATATTCGCAAGATCCATTTCAGAGTAACTCTGAACTTCATACATTTGTGGTTGGACTCGATGCTCTCAAAGGTCCCTTCCAACCATGAAGATTCTGTGACTCATACAGGCTGGGTTAACGCTGACCTGGGCCAGTACCCTCAGAGAGCAGACACACTGCAGATAATGGACCTCCTGGATCTGGGAACTAGATCAAAACAAAGGACTTCAGAGACCAAGAGCAGGACTTTGACAGCATTTAGGAGTGTCTTAGTCTAATTAAAACCATGATCCGCTTCTCTCAGCTGCGGCACGAATCCCGCTCTAGGACTTGCCAAGGCGAAGGGTGCCCTTCTTTCAACCAGCCCCGCACCTCCCCTCTGGGCAGCCCCCAGCCGAGCTCAGGTTCCCACTCCCCCCTTGTTTCCCCCTGGACACCTGCAGGTGGAATCCCTTGTCGGACTCGCTGTGCAGGGGGTAGGAGTGTGATGAGCAGAGGATCTTGCTTTCGGATGCAGTTCTTACACGGGCAAGGTGACGTGGTTCCCTTTGTCATTATCAGTGTCACGGATGTGACAAGCCTTAATCTTTAAAGATCTATTACTTTTTTTTTAAAATTCAATTAGCATAAGCTATAGACAAATGTCATCGGTGTATTGGACAAAGTGAATCATCCTGTAGAGGCTACAGGAGGGGAAGTAATATTGCAAGTCACAAAATAAATTGCCACATCAGTGACTTTAACATCACTGGCTGCATCGCACTTGTGTGCTTTTGTTCTTAGGGTTTTCTTACCCTTCCTTGGAACCTGCACTGCTTTCCTGAAGTCAGTAGCACCATCTGATTTTTTTGCTCACAGGTCCGTGAGCCTGCCAACGCCTGCTCTGCGTTGTCTCCAGCTTCTGCTCTTGTTAACTCTGACCTCTCATTGCAGAAAAAAGAAAAAAAGAGAAAAAATAATAGTTGTATAATATGCATAAAAGCCACAAAAGGTTTCTGTGCCAAAATCACTCCTGAGAAACTAACCCTTAGCAGGTGGGTTTGGGGGGGGGGGGGGGATGCTAGAACCAGTAACCGCTCACCGTCCCCTCCTCAGGTTACTCATAACCTTCATCTGGTTTTTTTCTTGTTAACTGTTAAACCAGCAATATCCAACCAGTTCACTGCTGCTTTGGAGAAAAAGAAAAAAGAAAAAAAAAAACAGGGCATGGAGAGGAGGAGGTGTTCTCTTTCTGCCCCCAGTGCAAAACAAACAACAACAAGGTGTAAAGTCTGAGTGTGGTGACAACAGGGGGTTCCCATAATTTCTGCAATTTTTGAAATTTTGGAGCGTAGGATGGAGGGAAGGGTAATGGGAAACAGGGAACTATAAACCTGGAGAAAAGGAAAAAGAATGGAAAATGAAGGCAGGAATGCTCAGAAATAGGCGGAGGCAGGACCAAAGAACTGTGTGGGGTGGTGACAGCGCTTTCTGGCCACAGCTTGTTTCGGGTGGGGAATATTCCGTGTGGCTGGTTGTGTGGTGTCAGGGCTGGGGAGCAGGAGAGGCTCAGGGCTGGGGAGAAAACACTGTAAATATAAAAATGCTATGTAGTACTGAGAGCTCAGGTAAGAGAGTTTAAGGATCTATTTTAAACTGCTCCTCACCTTTCCCACACAAACCAAACGTGGATTCTTCACAGGTATTTTCTGATTTACCCCTGTTTTAGCTTCCCCTGCCACTGGGCTTAAATGCATTCTTTAAAAAAAAATAATATTAAACCAAAGAAATACTATACTTTAGAAGATTCTTCATAAGGAAGCCGTATCAATTTCTGCCTCTTTCATTTCTTTCCTCTTGAAACATCATTCACCAGTTCTGGGTTCTGTTCCCAGATGTGCCCAACGTTGAAGGTGACGGGTGTTAAAGCCAGGGGTGTGTGTCCCGTGTGAGGGGCTGGGGTGGAGGGGCCATGCCCTGCTCTGCAGAGGGAATCACATCCTGCACCAGCTCCATTTCCCTTCAGCCATTCCTTACCTCAGGCCTCCAGATACCGGCGTCCTGAGTCAGGGAAGGAGAATGTGACATCAGCCTGGGAATACGTATGAGTAGAAATAAATCGGTAAAGTTCTTCATTTTCATCCCATCATAAACCATTACAAAATAAGGAAATAATTGATCTAAGGTAAAGTTAATGTGAAAAAAAAACCTGCTTAGACAACTGAGCTGGATTTTTAACTGTAGCAACTCTTTGTAAGGCACATAAAGTCTGTGCCCAGGTGGCTGGACTGATGCTTCCCCCCTGTTAGAGGACAGTGGGGCGTGGGACAGGAGCGGCAGCCCCTTCCTGTTGCTCGGTGGGTTTGGATTTCTCTTCCAAAAGGCAAAATATGAGGTTCCTGAGTTTCTGTTGCTTGTTGGGAGGTAAAGTCAAGAAGCTATAAAGTGATTTCGCCCTTGGTAGTATTTACCTTGCTCAGTTTGGACACAGATGTCACGTGAGAGCTTTTGTAAAAACCCCAAACTGAGAACAAACTACAAGCTTTTTTGTTTTTTGTTTTTTTTTAAAGATACCCCTAAAATTATTGTGATGTTTGTTCTGGTGATGTAAAGCTGTGCCTGATTCACACTGTTCCACATTCTTACAAGGCAGCGACTTGTACCCACTTAACTGCTCAGTGGGGCTGGAGGCAAGAGGGGTTTGGAACGAGAGGATCAGGGTCATTTGTGGGTTTCCAGTTCTTCCTGAGCCAAATCCCTCTCAAACGCTGTGTGTGACCACACTCCCCTGGCGGGGGGTTTAGTTTCAGTCCTGGGCAGGGTTATAAGCCTTTCTGGGGAGGAAAAAAATACATTTTTTAAGTAACATCCTCCAATTAGTCATTCATTAGGTTTTGCCATTATTATTCTTTTTTTTTTTACTTCCCACAGGAGCCCTTAACCCACCCCCTTTCCTCCCAGTCCCCCCAGTAAAACCTGGTCACCCAGTGCTGACCAGAGCTTCGCTGGTACATTAGGTTTTGCCATTATTATTCTTTTTTTTTTTACTTCCCACAGGAGCCCTTAACCCACCCCCTTTCCTCCCAGTCCCCCCAGTAAAACCTGGTCACCCAGTGCTGACCAGAGCTTCGCTGGTACCACCGTGACTCACAGTACAGAGTGTCACCTTCCCGAAAATGAGATTTCTGCTCACTTTCTGAGTTGCAAATTCTTGAGGCTGGGGAGGAGGGGGAGGAATCTTTCCATGCCCAGCAGTAAAAAAAAATAAATAAATAAAATAGGGTATTTATTCTTCCCAAGAAGCAAAGCAGTTGTTAAATACCTTTTCCCAGCACTTTACTTAAAACCTGATTAGGTGATGTTGAGCTCTGGAGCTGTAACTGGTACTTCCATAACTCCATGATTTTTTTTGAAAACCACTCTCCCCCAGGACACGCTCTAGACTGTATTATTTGGGAATATAATAAATAGACTTTCTAAAGAAACTCCAGGCATGAACACAATTGCATGAAAAAATAATAATAATGGGGTTTTTTTCTGTACTTTTGTGCAATGTTGGTGCTGTTGGGTCGTACTTTGCACATTTCTGGTCTTGTTTTTCCTTTCCTTGCTACTATTTGTCATGGTGGTGTGGGTTTTAGGTGCAAAATAGCTTCTTTATTCTTTTTTTTTTTAAAGGAGTATCTGGTAATTATCAAGCCTCGTTTATGCTTTTTAGTTGAGTTATGGGTGTACGGCATATTCTATTCAGTAATGGAAAAGCTGCGTTATTAATTTGTGAGGAAAGTTAATGCATTTTTAATGTAAAACTTCACTGTAAGAAGAGGTTCAAGACCACAAGGAGCACTTAAAATAATGTCACACTCGGAGTAAGCGCATTAGGAGCATTCCCTTTAAAAATACATCAACTTTTATTCACTTTTTCGTTATTTTAATTTTTTTTAAGCAGAGCAAAAGCAGCAGTTTGCCTTATGCTCCCCAGGGCCCCGTAGGGCAGTGTCAGACACGGCCGGCGTCGCGGTCCCGCCAGCGCAGGTCCTTCTCCTTTTGCTGCTGCCCCGGCCCAGATCTCAGCTCCTCAGCTCACACCAGAAAGGAAAACAGCTTCATGGGGGCAGGTATTTCTGAAGGCAGTGGAAAAGTCTGTCGAAAAATAATGTATTTTTGCAGTCTTTCACCTGGAAATCCACGGCAGCAGTCGCTCCGTCCTCTCCTCCTCAGGTCACCTTAGGAAAAAACTATTTGAGCGTAGTTCTTTAAGCTTAAAATCCAGTTGTCTGGTCAGATTTGTTGTGTTTCATTATGGAGTGTGTCGGATAATCCCTCTTGCTTTAACAAAAAAAATAACAAAAAAGAAAAAAAAGACAAAAAAAAAATAAAAAAAGAGGTATTTTAACCTAGTCCAAAGGTATGGTCATGTATTACTGTAATAAGGATCATGGTTTTAAGTGTATTCCATTTTGGTTTCCACCATGAACATCTAATCCCTGTAACAATGTTGTATGTTTATTTAAAGTATATATATTATATATATTAAAAAAGAAATAATTAAATGTCAGATTTTTTGCATTAAGATTTTTTTAAATTTGAATATGAACTTTGAGTACTTTATTTCACCAAAAAAAGAGAAATATTAAGAAATACTTTCCTGGAGTGTTCAGTTTCAGAATTCAAGATTATATTTGTCAAATTTAAGTTTAAAATATGTAGCTAATGTTGTTTTCTGATATTGACTGTAAATATTTGTAAAAAGAAATTCTTTTGTATATTTTTGTGAAAATGTAGTTCCCCAAAAGATATGAAAGATTTAATAAAAAAGTGCATTTATGTTGCTGCTCAACACTTTTTCATTATTATAATCCCGCTTAAAAATATTTATGGTCACCTTCCTGGGATTATTTTTTGCAGCGTAAATCACAGAACGGTCTCAAAGGAGGTGATTACAGAAAACGTCCAGCCCTTGGGCACTGGGGGAAGGAGGAGTCTTCAGAAATGGGTCCGAGCGGTACTTTCTGCCTCCCTGCTACAAACAGAGACAGCTCAAACCAGTTCTTGGCAAGTGAAGTGGTATTTCATTTTGTAGACTTTTTAAATGGAGCACAATACCTTTGTTTAATTGTTATTATGAAGCATTTTTGTTCCTTTTGTCTTCTTTTTTTTTTTTCTCCTGTTTGAGAAAGCAGCATCAGAGGTACAACGACTATTACAGCAGCTCCAAACATTTTCCAAACTAAAACAGTATTTCCAGTATGATCCAAACGCAGGAATAATCTTTCTAGGACCTTCTGATGATCCACTTCCTTCTCCAAAAACATAACCCCAAGAGAACACCGAATGTGCTTTGAAAGTCTTTAATGGAATTTAAAGTAAAACTTTTCTTACACAGACAATTTTTTTCTTTTTCTTACAGCGTAAAAAAAATGTAAAATTGCTTAAACTTACAAACTTGGAAAATTAGAGACATTTCAAGTAGGCAATCAAACCTCAGTTTATGAAAACGATGTATATTAAAAGTTCAAAATGCATGGATTTTTGTAACATCCTGTGCCCCTGGTGGCTCATCCTCCTTCCTGTGACTGTCCCGAGGGGCAGAGCTCAGGCCCAGGGTGACTCTCGATCATTCGCTGCGGGGGGAAGAGAAAAACAATCCAGGTCAGTAACATTTCCCCCCCGGGGCTGTAAAGGGGGTTTCAGAACCCATTTGCCTCCTGCCCCTGATCAACACTTGAGGGAGGGAAAGGCTCACCTGATTGGAGTGTCTTTAAGACACGCAAATGTAAGAAATATTGAATATTGAAACATTGAAGATGGCTTGGGCACAAGATAAAAGACCAGTAAAGAAAAGCCAATGTTGGTTTTTCAGCTTTATTCAAATAAACCTCAGTAAACACAACGTGCCTGGGTCAGGCTCCCAGTGACTCTGCCAGCCCCTGGTTGTCCAGCGTTGCGTCACATTAGTTAATGTTTCTGCTACAAAACTAAACCAGTACAGAGTTCTCTCTAAAAGAACGGCACCTTTCTTCACCCAACCTTCCTTGTCCATCACACACACAGTACTCCCGGGAGTAAAATTACACCCGTGACATGAGTCACAAAATAAATACAACCCAAACTTTAAAAGATGAAGTGAAAAGCATCTCACCTGGTCTGAGCCCGGGTCCATTTGAGGGCGTGGCGAGGGGGCACGGCGATCGTTGGGTGGTAGAAAGTGCAGTCTGGCCTCGTACACTGGGTGTTGAACCTACAGTGCTGCAAGGGAGAGCGCGTCAGAAGAGGCTACTGGGAGCCTCATCACCTCAACAAGCTACATTTGTATTAATTATTACAGGTAAGAACTATAATTAGTTTGTATTAGTGTTACAATGTATCTGAATCAACATCTGCATAGATCAGTGCAATCAGTTCAACCCAACGACAGAAGGAAATCCTTCTCCAAAAGCATGGATGATGAATTAGATGCCCCAAACCTGCCACCACACCAGGGTTTAGAGGGTTCAGCTTCCACTGCTGCGTGGGCAGACGCTTGGAGCAGGACACAGCACTGGCTGAAGGGCAGAGGAAAAGCCCCAGCAGCTGGCTGATAACATCTAGGAACAGAGTCCTGCATTTCAGCATGGGTAGGGCTCAGGAAAGCACTAAACTTTTGGAACTTTTGGTTTGTTTTCATCCGTAGACCAGTTTGAGCAACCAGATCTACTGGGAGGTGTCCCTGCCCACGGCAGAGGGGTCGGAACTGGATGATCTTTAAGGTCCCTTCCAACTCTAACCATTATGTGATTCTGAACTTACTGGCATAAGAACATGCAGGGACACAATCCCAAAAAATAAATAGAAGTATCTAAGTTACAAACTCCTGTACTTTCTGAGCTAAAGTTAGAATGTGAAAATTAAAAGCAGAAAGCGTGAAATGGTAGTGACACTTCCCAACCCAAAGTAACACATTTCAAGTATCTTTCTGGAAAGGAAGGGAAGAGACAGGAGACAATTCTTACTTTTGGGTGGTAAAAAGGACATTCCATTTTCTTACAAGCAGGAAAAAACTTGCAGAGCGGACTACTGGAGGAGAGAGACGGTGTGGGCAGGGGTGCTGGGAGTGGAAAAGAACAGAACAGGAGGTCAGTCTGCATCACAAGGAACTGCTCTTTTAATACAGTTCCCCACAAAATATATCAATCCCGCAATAAATACAGGGAAGCCTATCACAGGCCACCACGTGGCTCTCATCCTGGGGCAGAACAGGAGCATCAGGTAATCATTAGTCTGGGTTCTCCACAGGAGGTGCCCTGGTCACAGCAACCCTCCCAGCAAATCAAGCAGAGAAATTCCGATGCTCCGTGTGGGCACAGCCAGTCAGAGGCTGGAAAGGGCAGGAGCACCTTCCAGGAACACAGAGGAGCTGCTGGAAGTGACACAGGAGATGGGCACATCGTACTCTGCCTTCTGGCAAAGTGACAGCACCGCACCGCGCCAGGGCTGAGGGGCCAAACCACTTCCCAAAATGGTGGCTGGAGCAGAATAAAGGTCCCCCAACCTGGGCAGCGTCCCAAGGCTCGGGAATACCAACCCCCAATCCAAACACAGCCACGGCCTTCACCCGGCAGCCTCACCTCTGAAAGTCAGCTCATGGGTGCACAAAATTAACTCCTACAGTGTCATTAAAGGAAAAAAATGTTCACACAAAGACAGAAACCTCTGTTTTCAATTTGTCCCCCAAACTCTTGGTACAAAGTGTATCCAATTTAAGGAAGAAAACTGAGTATCAGTGCCCTGCTGGCCAGTCCCTGCAGAAAAAGGCACTATTTGTGCAAGTCACCACTTGGGCCTCACACAGGACTCTTGCGTAAAAGCATTAAGAGATATTTCCAAAACAGTTTTTGCAGTGACACTGTATTACTCTTCTTCATCTAGCATTAAGAACTGAAATAAAATTAAGTCAAATCGAGCAAAAAGTAATTTTTTCACCACTGTCACTTTCTCCTTCCGCAAAATACCATTTTCCCTTCAACACTTTCCTTTAAAGCTCAGAAAAACAAGCGGCGCTCACCTGGTTTAGGAGAGGGATGGGGGGTTCGTCGACTGGCGTGGGTGTAGGGACAGTCTGGCTTAGTGCACTTGGCATCGTATTTACAGTTGGGATGGATGAACAGGCATTTATCAGCAAATTTGCAGTTAGGAAAAACTCTGAGGGAAAAGAAATGGAATCATAAGGCCGTTGTCAGAGCAGAATCCCCCGGCAGCTGTTGTGCACGAAAGGCAGAATTATCAGGGAAAGCCAGAGGTGCAACAGGGCTGGGACACGTGTGCTGGGGACCTGCCAAGCAAGGACAGGGGGTGTCGGGGACCAGCTGGACACAAAAACATCTGCATTCATCTTCCTGGGGTGAAATACTGCAGTAAGTAACTGAACCACCTCCCACTCGTTTAGTAACGAGCTAATTCCCTAAGTAACACCATTCATTCACTGAAGAGAAAGTTCTCTTTAATTTAGTTATGTCGGATTTGAAAGGAAAATTCAAATGTGTGAGTAAATGAAGGCACCCAGTCTGGTAACATCTCAAAACAGAATGTGGTTTCCTAGACCATTGCTGCCTGTGGAAGGGAAGCCAAAGGCACAGAGCGCATTCAAGATTTAGCCTTTGCTTTCAAATAAATTTAAAAAAAAATAAAATCCCTGCATTACTATGTAATGGTACACTACCACGTTCAGAAGAATTCTGGCAGCCGGCAGAAGAGTGCCTGGTATTTTCAGAAGACACCAATTCCCACCTCTCTAAGCAGCACAGAACCACCAGCCCGTCTGTAAACGAAGCTTTCTTCCTCATGATCCCAGCTGTGCATTTACACATTCAAAACATCACTGTGATCTGACACGTGGGAGATGGGAGGAAACCAGAAGAAAGGACAGTGATGCCCCCCTCACAGGCTTCCTAACACAGAAGGGAAAGCTGTGGCACGGCAATAAAGCCCCCAGTAAGGTGCTGGGCTGTCAGTACTCACTTGCAAGGCAGCGTGGGGTGATGGAACACACACTCGTCCCCGTTCTTGCAGGCAGGCCAGTACTTGCAGCGCTCAAGCACCTTCTCCTGCTTCTGCAGCACATTCAACTCTTCCATCTCCACTGGGAAGGAACAAAAAAAAGAAAAAAAAAAAGTAAAAAAGCCGGAACCTTTATGATTCTATATGCAATTTTGCATTAACATAATTGAAATTCAGAGTATTTCCCATTCTCTCTCTTTCTAACCCAATTCTTGATAAGCCTCTAGTCAAAAAGTCATGAGAGTAAAAATTTATGCACAAGCATACAATTTGAAAAAAAATTCTACAACTACAAAAAGACAAAAGTCATAATACTGGGCTGACAGCTGCCTTTAGGTGACAAAAGATCAAAGCTGTACTGTTTGCAAGCAAAATAAATTAATTTTCTTCACAAATCTAAACTGAGGTGCGAAAGTCAAACAGACCACATCTTGATCAGACAAGACAAGGATTCTTCAACTGAACCTTAGGTACGACCTTTCTGCTGAGCCACATGTTAAGTAAGAGCTGGGCTTCCCTTCTCTAAGATTTTTTTGGCTCTAGAAAATTATTTCAAGAAATAAAGTTTAAAAAAAAAAGCCTCCACCTCAGCTTTTACACCAAATCAGGTATGATGCATGGGGACACACACCGTAAAAGAACCACTTCCATGTAATTTGCTCAGACAGACACCACATTCACGGATAAAGTTAAAAAAACAGCCCCCACCTCAGTTTTCACACCAAATCAGGTATGATGCATGGGACACACACTGTAAAAGAACCACTTCTTTGTAATTTGCTCAGACAGACACCACATTCACTT